ATTTTTTTTGGAATATAAAAGTAAAAAGTGAATGTGTTTGTAATATGATCAAATTGTTCAGAACATTTACTTGAATATAAATATAATATTACTGTCAGAAATATAGGGAGGTTGAAAACTGCTTTATGTTTGTTTTGTAATGGCTGAGGAAAATGTTAAAGTGCTGTCACTAAACAATGGATGTAGGTAGAATTTCTTTGTTGTTTGTAAAAGTTTATGTTTTAACTCACACAAACACACACATACATACACACTCACTTTAGTTTGTGTACTTAGTTTGTATTTGTACAAGTTTATGCTTTAACACATACACACGCACCTGTGCTAACCCACACACATTAACTCACACTTTAGTTAGTGCACCTAGATATGCACTGTCCAAATATATTTTGCACACTTGAAGTAAAAATGCAGTGTCACATAAAGGGTAGGAAGTCTATTTGGTTTCCCCTAAACAACACATTTAAAGAGCATCATCATAGGACAAAAAAATCCCAGAAAAATAGTAATACTAGTTTTATTATTACATATTTTTGATATTAATAACACCACTCATCATCACAATTATGTATTGAAGGCGTTTGAAATTGACATATTCAACGCCAGATTAGATTCATCCAACAGTTTACAGGATATTTTTAGGTTCTAATGCGACAATGCAGAATTTCATCATCTGATCTTTGCCGATATGAATTTATCTACGCCTATTTGGACTTAAAAAACAGTTAAGAATGGAAACACAGTCTCCACCAGGGAAATCAGGGAAAAAATGGAGAATTCAGATATCTGTAAAAAAATCAGGGGATTATCAGGGAAATTAGGCTAAATTTTAGAAAAATCAGGGAGAAATCAGGGAAAATGGCTCTTCATCAAACTTACGTAACTTAAATAAGTTGTATATGGTATACGTTATATAAAAGTTTATTCGGCTGATAGTCTTATAAACTTCTCTCGATACATTTAATGTGGGTATTATTGTTTATATTTTTGCAATTGAAGAGCATTTTTCTGAACGAATTTAGGTCAATTTTTGTAAAGTTGAGTTTGGGTAACTTTCAATTAAATCAGGGAAAACAGGTAGAAGGTCAGGGAAATATCAGGGAAATCCACCTTAAAATTTGGCAGATACCCTGTGAAAGTCAAAGATCTTGCTTTTTTTTTATCCAAATAATTTTATAGAAAACAGATTTTAAGGCAAGTAATTGACCTTGGATCTGATGAATAGTGTTTATATAAAAGGTAAATTTCCTTAGATATGCATCTGCTTTTTTATCTTTTTTACCTTCATAGTATCTCTGGCTAATGGCAAAAGATTCTTCTGTAAATCTCTTGTAAAGAATTTTTTAGGAGCTATGATGAAAAATGATTGTCTTAACAACTGTCTTATCCTTTCTATCAAAACAGGTTTAGCAAAGAAAGTGAATAAAGATGTTAATTCCATCCAAATAATATTTTAACAATCTACCCTGAACACTTCAGTCTCTGTGTGCCCCTGTATGTTTATAGAAATATCTTTGCTCGCTTAGTCTTACTGGTATTACCAATTGTGGGGTTTTTGTACATTAATTGACTGACGGTTTGAGTATTGGCAGGTGCTATTTAGTTATAAACTTTTATTGCAATACAAAAAATTTAATTTTTTCATTATTTTCTTTTTTATATTTTTTTCATGAAAATAGCTGTCTGGTTTTAAGTTGGCATTGCAAAATAAATAAGAACAGTGCAACCTAAACTACCAAAGTAAGTGTTTGTGTGTGTGTGTATATATTATATGTATACTCATATTTATACACGCACACACACACGCACACACACACACACACAATGAAAAGAAGTAACTTTGTAAAGAAAAAAATGTATGTATGGCAATAAAATAAAAAATAAAGGTTCTTTGATATTATTATTGAATTTAAATAATAAAAGTTGATTATTTTAGGTTTGAACTTTGAAAAACTGTTTTATTGATAAATATTTTGTCTTTAATTTTAAAACTTGAAAACTATTAACTATAGAAAAAATATATTATGAAATAAATCTCTCTTTAATGATAAACTATACTTATCTGGATACTTTAATCATTTATTGATGAACAAACTTTTATACATTTTCAACTTTTGTTCATTATAAAGAGCTTGTGGATTGCAAAATCTTAACCTATTAAAGTAGATGGCAACATCAAAGTAAGCCCTGGCAGTTCTTTATATAAAATATCTAATCAGGCAATAATCACAACCCTTCTACAATATGGTTACAAACCTAGGTAAACCTGACATTTTATTGTCAGGTTTACCTAGCCCCAGTAGTTAAAGAAATTCTTTTTATGGAGGAGATTAAGGACAAAAATCCTCACTTGGCTCACTTGAAACTTGGCCTGATTGAATTAAAATATTGTTACCAACAATATTTTAATTAGATCCATAATTAAAGAATTTTTATACATCTTAATGTCTTTGAAAAAGCTTAAGTTGAAAAAAGTTCACTTTGTTGTGCTTAAATACTTTGTACTGCAACTTTCCAGAGCTTGTTAAATGATGTAAAATTATGTCGACATACTGCATGCATATGTATATATATATATATATATATATATATATATATATATATATATATATATATATATATATATATATATATATATATATATATATATATATATATATATATATATACACACACACACATATACATGGATCTAAACATATACACACACATATATACATATGTACATGTATACATATGTACATCTTTACATATTTTGGTGAGTAGTGTGGCGTCATTCTAGCATAAATATATGTATGTGTATAAATATGTATGTATGTATGTATGTATGTATGTATGTATGTATGTATGTATGTATGTTTTTAGACAAGTTTGTTTAGAGTAGTATTAATTTTCAATTTATTTAAAAGGTGGAGATGGTAAAGTCATATTTGGTGAAGAATATGAAAAGGTTCCACTAAAAGATGAAATAGTTGAAGTAGATGTTAAGATTGCACCACATGAGAAACGTGAAGCATGGGGACATAAAGCTGAGTTTATTTTAGCTTCCATCGGACTTGCAGTAGGGTTAGGAAATGTATGGAGATTTCCTTATCTTTGTCAAAAAAATGGCGGAGGTTAGTTTTTTTAAAAGTTTGTTAACTAGATTAAATAGATTATTTCTTGGTAATATTTGATTAACATTAGAATTGAAAAATATACTATGAAAATAAAAAGCTAAAATGAAGCTCTGTATTCAAAATCTAATCAATTTTATTTTTTCTGTTTTTAAGGTGCTTTTCTTATTCCATATTTTATTATGATGGTAATTGAAGGAATTCCTTTATTTTATCTTGAGTTTGCTGTTGGTCAACGTTTTAGGAGAAGTGCTGTTGGTTGTTGGAAGAAAATACACCCTGCGCTAACGGGAATAGGCATATCTTGTATTGTAGTCTCTTGTCTTTTATGCATTTATTATGTTGCTATTCTTGCTTGGTGTTTTTATTACTTATTTGCGTCATTAACATCAAAACTTCCATGGCAGTTAGAAAATTGCCCACAGTAAATTTTAACTTGTTTTTTGTTCTATTTAAAGAAAAGAAAAGAAAAAAATGATAATAATTTTGTTTTTAAAATTGTATTATTTTAGATACTTGGAGTACAGTAACATATCAGCATTGTGTGCAGTTAACAAGACATTAAATGATATGTGTTTATTAAAAGAAAGATTTCCTGATTGTTGTGTGCATGATCCACAGTTGTATTATTTTTATAGAAAAGCACTTAATATTTCTCCTTCTATAACGGATCTTGGTGATGGAATTCAATGGAAGTTATTTGGGTGTTTAGTGCTGTCATGGATTATTGCATATGCTTGCATTGTGAAAGGTGTAAAATCTAGTGGAAAGGTTAGTTGTAAATTTATTTTTTATCTATAGTTTGATAAAATCTAGTTAAAAGATTAATACTTTTTCAAACTATTTGGTTTTAAAAATGTTATTATTTTAAATTTTATTATTATTATGTTTACCACCCATGGTTCCTTAATTGTGTGGTTTAAACAGGTTTCCATAATGTCATTTTTTAAATATAAATATATGGAAAAATAAATTTAATATAAATATATAGAAAAATAATTTTAATATAAATATATGGAAAAATATGGCATTTTGGAAAAGATCAGTACTAAGTATTTTTTTCAGTATTTAGTATTTTGATTGTAAAAAAAAAAAAATAACAGTGGATCTCAAGTGTTGATAGCTATTATCTTTTGTAATAATGTGCTTTCGTTTAGCACTTCTTCACCCAATCATCTTTTTTTTTATTATTCTCTTTCTTTGCAAGATTGCACTGTTTTCAATATTGTTCAAATTGACTAAGCTCTTTCTTTTTATCCATCTACCGATTTTGCTGTTTTTTGAAACTATAATGCATATCACACTAAATGGCTTGGCTCTACTCCTACTTGCTGTAAAACTCAAAATTTTTCTCTTCTAAATATCTTACTTATACCTAATCTTGTGTTTGTTAACTCATTTTCCAGACAACCCTAATTGCTTACATTCAATACTTGATTTGTGTCTTGTCTAAGATTCTTGCACATGCTCAGTTTCTTATTGTTTTCAATTAGGTGGTTCAGATAATTTTTCATTAGATCTTCATTAGGTGGTTCAGGATCATGCAATCATCTTACTAATACTTTTATCTTGTACTTCTTCTATATAAGATTTACCCTTCATTGTTTTTTTTACTTATCTTAAAGCTGACTGGAAATCATTTCATCATTTCTGTTAAGTAAGCAATAAAAAAGTTATAACAAAAAGTTAAAAAATAAATCTTGTTTGTTTACTGCTAATAACTTTGAGAGTTTTTTTTTCTATATATATATATATATATATATATATATATATATATATATATATATATATATATATATATATATATATATATATATATATATATATATATATATATATATATATATATATATATATATATATATATATATATATATATATATATATATATATATATATATATATATATATATATATATATATATATCTGTGTGTGTGTGTGTGTGTGTGTGTGTGTGTGTGTGTGTGTGTGTGTGTGTGTGATATATATATATATATATATATATATATATATATATATATATATATATATATATATATATATATATATATTTATATGTTTTTTACAGGCGGTTTACTTTACTGCAACATTTCCCTATGTCGTTCTCATAATTTTGTTTTTTGTTGGTGTGACACTGGAAGGTGCTAGCATTGGAATAAAAACGCTTTTTACTCCTGATGTAAGTAGAAAACTTTTTAAAAATTCAAAATATTTATAGATTTTTTTTTTAATCAAAAGAAAAATGATAAGTATGATCCGCATGTCCATTTTTCGACTTATTACAATTTAATAAAAGTTATCAAGTTGCTGGAAGAAATTTTGACAGCCCTTGTTGGTCTGGATTGACATTAGCAAATTTGGTATATTGTATCCTTATTTTTAATTTTTGAGATTAGCTGTCAATGCTGAAATAAACATCAAAGAAAGTATTAGGAATAGTGATCGATCGAAAGAGAACAAAAGCCAAAACCGAAATTGCTAGTGCTCTCCTTCAGTGCTGAAATCTATCTTTTGGCAAATATTTTACCGAAACCGATATGGACATTTTGGCTAGTCAAAATTAAATTTCATTTGAAAAATTGATTTAAAAACGAAATCTTACATTTATTGCTTTTTTATAATCATATTATGTAAAAATTGCACATGTATCACAAATTAAGATTTAATACGTTGGTCATGAAAGTTAACAACTGGCAGATTTTCTCTTCAAAACAAGATTTTTTCAAGGTATTTTGAGAAAATTCTCAAAATATTTTGTGAAAATTCTCAAAATTAATTGTTTTTCTAAATTAGATAAAAATTTATAGTCTTTCAAATTTTTCTGTTTTCTGTATGTTTTTCAATCGAAACTTTTGTTTTTACCAAATTTATAAAAAGTACTGAAACCAAAATTTCAATATCAGTTCAAGTTGAAATTTTGGCAGAAAACTATACCGAAACAGAATTTCAGTTGATCTCTAATTAGGAAGTATTTAGTTCTATATTTATGAACCATAATAAATTTAAGGCCAAAACAAATGTGGTTCCATATAGAACCTCATTAGTTTTTGACACTTTTGTGAATTAGGGTTAAGCTATGCATCGAAAAGATTCAAGCTCTTGAATGTTTCCTAACTCTGTCTGGTTGGGCACTACTCAAAGTAAAAGTATACAAAATTGGTTGGGTAGCAAACTAATTTGTCTGTATTTTCCATTATTGCAGTGGAAAATACAGACCAAGTTGAAAATTTAGTTTAGATCTAATGCAGGGTATTTGTGAAAAAGTGTGCAGAGCAGATCCTGACGATGTCATTTCAATCTTGTTATAGTTGTTTAAATTTTGTAAAAATCTTAAATGGTGTAAAAGTTAAAATAAATATAAAAAAAGCTTCTTTGATTGTCAAATATAATAATAATCATTAGACAACAAATTTCAAATGTCTTACTTGAGTCATTTTCTACAGTTATTGATGTCCAACACCATTTAAATTAATAGTTTGCAAATTTTCAACTTCCTCTCAAATAGAACATTTTTTCATCAATTAGTTGCATTGTTTTGTTTTTATTTAAAATGTAGCGACTTCTTTATATTGAAAAAAAAGAACACTGCCACATTTATTATTAATAATGAACAATGTTTTTCGCTCAAAATAAGAGTGGTAATTATTTATTTGAGATGATTAACTCATGTGCAACTAGTATAACAAATGTTTAAGAGAAGTATAATGATAAAGTAAATGGTATAAAGTAATGGTAAGTTTTTTGTTAAGTTAAAATAGTTTTAAAATTGTTGCTTGTTATAAATAAATGTGAATTATCACATCAAGACATACAAAAAGTTTATATATTTAAATAATACAAAAACTTATTATAAACCGAAATAAAAACTATTTTCAATAAGAAGTTATTAAATTACAGCTTATTGTTTGCATTTTAAGAATGTTTTATGTTTAAAAAAACTAAATAAAATTAACAGATAATAGAATTCAGCTTTTTTGTAAAACAAATCTAAATTCGATTATCTCTAAAAAAAATCTAATTTTCTCTAGTTCTCAAAACTTAAAGATCCAACAATATGGATGGATGCAGCAACTCAAATGTTTTACACACTGAGTGTTGGATTTGGTGCGCATATCTCTTTTGCTAGTTACATGCCGATAAAAAATAATTGTGTTCGAGATGCTTTAACAATAGTGATTTTGGATTGTGGTACTTCAGTGTTTGCTGGAATAGTTGTGTTTTCAATCTTGGGACATAGAGAATTTACATTAGGTGCACCTGCAAATAAAGTAAGTTTTTTATTACTATAGTTACTTTATTATTGTGATCTTACAAACAGCTGACATTGAGAAAACTTTATAACAATTTAATTAGCAACAACTTTGAAGAAGTTGTTTGATTTTATAAAAAATAAATTTATATAATCATACTAGACTAAGTCTGCAAAGATCTGCTATACCGTATATACATTTGTGAAATTTTTATGATCTGCATCTTTTCTCTTACAGTAACTTCCAACTCTAATAGTGATTGGTTGTAGTTTTGTTGGAAGTGAAGATGCAAAAAAAAAAAATAATGACAAAAATAATAAAATTAAAAAAAAAAAAAAAAAAATAGTGATTGCTGTCTTAACCCAGACCAATAGTTTTCAAAATTGTTCTCCAGAACTCTCTTCAATTTTCTCTAAACTATTTAATAAGTGCTTGACTGAGTCTTGTTTTGCTGCCTGTTGAAAAATGGAATCTATTGTTCCAATTTTCAAAAACTCTGGTGAACATTTTGACCCCTCTAATTATCGTCCAATCAGTCTTCTTTCTGTTATTAGCATGGTCTTTGAGTCTTTGATAAAAAAAATTCTCACATCCTATTTTGAGTCAAGTAACTTGCTGACAGACAATCAATACAGTGCTCTTGACATATCTAAGACTTTTGACAAAATTTGGCATGTTGGTCTTTTCCATAAGTATTTCATATAGTGTATCTAGGAAAGTTTTTGAGATTATCAAATTGTTTCTTTCAAACTGCTTTATTAAAGTCGTCCTCAAAGTCCAATACTCTTCTTTATTTCCAGTAACTTCTGGGGTACCTTAAGGTTTTATCTTTGGTTCTGTTTTGTTTCTTATCTACATTAATGATTTTCCCAACAACATTACATCTAAAGTAGCTCTTTTTGGTGATGAATCAATTTTATACTTCTATCTTAACAAAAAGTCTTCTCTTTTCAATTGCTCAGAACAGGCAACCGATTTTGAATCTGATCTCACTTCTGTAACTAATTGGGGCTCACAATGGCTTGTTAATTTTAACTCCAACAAAACTCAGTTATTTAATGCAAACAACTATCGCAGTACTGTCGACATTCCTATATTGATGAATGGCAACCCTCTCACTTAGTCCTCTTCTTTACATTTTCTTGGATAATCATTTGCTCTGACCTTTCATCTTTCCATATATACAATCAATAGCTAAATTAGCATCTGCTAAGTTTGCTTCTTTTTTTTGTGCTTGCCATTTTCTCTCTCCTGATTCGATTCTCTATCTCTACAAATTTCTTATTCGTCCCTGTATGAAATACTGTTGTCATATTTGGGCTGGTTCTTCTAATGATGATCTTTCTTTTCTAGACAAGGTCTAAAAATGCATTGTAAACGTAGTTGGCTACGGCCTATCTGCTAAGCTTGAGCCTTTTTCCCATTGTTGTATCTCTTTCATTTTTCTGCAAATACTAACATGGCCGCTGCTCAAAGAAGCGTTCATCTCTAGTTCTATCAACCAAAACTCAATCTCCCTTGACTCGCCATTCATCAAAGTCTCATTCTTTTACTGTACCTATCCCTGCATGCCCCAAAAACTTTTATTCGTTTGGCTTTTTTCCCTGCGCTTCAACCCTTTGGAACTCTCTCCCATCTTCATGGTTTCCTGACTTATACAACCATCAACTTTTCAAGTCTTCTGTCAACATTTTCCTTGCTTTTCAACTCTATTCTTTTTTTTTCTAGCAACTCCCAACTTCATAGTGGTTGCTTGCAGCCTTGTTGGGAGCGAATCAGAATTAAAAAAACAAAAGTTGATGTAACTGCACTCTCTTGCATATCTAGATAGTCAGTCAATGTTTTCTCTTTACTGCCCGTTATTTTCTCTCTCCTGATTCCATTCTCTCTACAAATCTCTTATTCATCCCATACAGAATACTGTTATCATATTTGGGATTGTTCTTCTAATGATGCTATTTCTCTTCTTGACAAGTTCCATAAGCGTATTGTGAACATGATTAGACTGCTCTATCTGCTAAGCTTGAGCCTCTTTCTCATTGTTGTAAAATTGCATCTCTTTCTCTTTTATACAAATACTATCATTGCTGCTGCTCAAAGGAGCTATTATCTCTAATTCCATCAACTAAAATTCATTTTCAATAGTCATTGATCAAAACTCATTCTCGCTTGACTCATCATTCAGCAAAGCCCCATTCTTTTACTGCAATTGTCCCTGCATACTCTAAAAACTTTTATTCATCTAGTTTTTTTCTCCACACTTTAACCCTTTGAAATTCTCTTCCATCTTCATGTTTTCCTGGCTCATACAACCTTTAATTTTATAAGTCAACTGTTTCCTTGCTCTATAACTCTATTCTTTTTTTTCTAGTAACTCCTAACTTAATAGTGGTTGTTTGCAGCCTTGTTGGGAGTGAATCAGAATTTAAAAAAAAAAATGTATGTACTGACGCCTTTACATCAAATTATTTTAGTATGATGTTGTATTACTTAGTTAAATATGCAATATTAAAAAAATCTCCCTTTTTTTTTTTTGGGACAAAATAAAAGAACTTTCTACTCATTTTTCTGTCAGTTTCTATCATATTTAGGGTTAAAGGTTTATTTTTTGCTTTATTCCACTCTTTGAAATTTTTTTTACTTATAACTTTTTATTCATATATTCACTTCTAATGAAATATGCAGCGAAATTTGCAGTAAGTAAAGTATTATAAATGTTACTATCCCAATTTCATCGTACCTTATTGTTTTCACTTAAAAACAAAGTTATTTAACCAATATATTTTTTGCTTTGAAAAAATGCCATAAATTTATAAAGAAACATTAAGATTAAATTTATTTGAATTCAGAGCATAGTAACCAGGGATGTAGCTCAAACGGTTATGCAAATGGCTTGTTTGTAAGTTGTAATTAAAAAAAAAAATTAAGTTCATTTTAAACCATAGATAAGACTTTTTAGTTTAATATATTAAACATTTTATTAAAAAATTTTTAAATTGTGATTTTACTGTCATTTTTTTTTAAAATTTTCCTGTATTTTTTAAGACATAATGAAGAATAGATGTTGCCTTATCAATTGGTATGCAAGAAGATTCTACATAAAAAATCAACGTAAAAATATTTCATCAAAAAAATAAGCAATTTTATTTATACTGACAACCTTGAAAAGGAGCAGTTAGTTCATTACTGATAATGTTTTTACTAGATGTAAAGTAATAAAAAAGTAGGAGTTTCAGAAGTTAATAATGCATCTGAATCAGAAGCAGATTCAGAATGATTATCTACTCCAATACACCACTCAAGATCAACATTCTCAATATTTAGTTGAAAAATTTATGTACCACAAAAACCATTAAGTATTTTTGATTTTGTTATAATTCTATCATTCATCAGTTTTAAAATTTTTATAAACTCAATCTCATCAACTTCCTTGCAACCATTTTCTCTTTTCCAATTATTTCGCTGGTCCAAAAATTGATGTATCATACATTTAAAGTATGTGAGTACATTTGGAGGAAAAGACACTGTTAATTCCCTGATCCTTGCACCATTTAAATAAAATATTTTTAAAATTTAAATGAAAATTAATGTGACTTGGATGATTGTCTAAGAATATGAAAACAGGACGTGCAACATCTTGCATTGCCAATTCAATATAATCTTTAAAGGAGTGTTAGTTTGCCATCCAGATTCAGTTTGAGTGAACAAAAAATTGCTTCTGACAGTTCCAGAAGCATATGCAAGATCTTCTATCCATATGAATTTTTAACATAGAACCATTAGCTCCAAAGAAATAGTAGATATTAATGTTTTTTTAGGCCTTGATGAATTAACTTTAAAAACTGTTTTTGCACCTTTTCTTGTGAAAACTGTCTTCAAACTTGGATTTATTTCAAAATTTGTCTTATTGATATTGTAAAAAGCAACTGGACAACAAGGACATGAAGTAAACCATTTCTTTATAAAAAATCAGAAAAGTTGTCAAAAAATCTTGTAATTCTGCTAACTGAAACTATTGCCGTGATTTACTAATAGATTCAGGGGTACAAAGAACTATTCCAGGATTTCTTGTAAGGAATGATTTTACCCAATGTTCCATTTTGAAACTGCTGAGTATCTGAAGAATTTCAAAGTTTCCGCACATCTGAAGCAGCCTTAATTAAATCATCCTTTGTTTTAGTATCGCCCAAATTAGATGACATAACAAGCCATTCAACCAATTGTTCTTCTTTAAATTCAGTTAACACATTTTTTGATCAGTTTTCTACAGACTTACTCAATTTTGTTGTTTCTTTAAATGCCAACTAATTGTTCATTCTGGTATGTCATATTTTTGGAAGCAGTGTAAAATGATGTTTTTTTGAAAATATTTTCAAGGGATCCTGCATAGAAACAGCTTCATATTTTTTATATTTTTGAGATAAAGCAGCAGTTGTTGCTACTTCTTCATCAAAAGTATTGCAGTTATCCATGTTTACATTATAAATCACATAAATTACTTTGTTTAATCAAAAAATAGCTTTGAAAAGTGTTTAAACTTTTCCATTAAGGTGCCGCAAAAAAAAAAATTTTTACCACAAAAAACATATTCATAATTATTTAAATTACTTTATTTAATCAAAAATAACATCTTAACGTTTTTAAACATTTCCATTAAGCATAGAATAAAATGTGGAATTAAGCATAGAATACAAAATTCAAATCACCTCAATTTTTGTTTTGCAGAGAAAAAATTCAATCCTTGAAATTTAATTATGTAGTTAAAGTTTTCCTGTATTTTTGAGACATATTGAAGAATAGATGTTGCCTTATCAATTGGTATACAAGAAGATTCTACATAAAAAAAATCAACGTAAAAATATTTTACATTGATTTTTTGTATTGATGTAGACAATAAATGTTTAATTTTTGTTTACAATGGTTCTTTACACGTTTTTACAGGTTTTGTGAGCTAGTCAGAATATTTCAAATACTCTATAGCTTTATTTTTTTCATTAAAAAGTTTATACCACAAAAAACACATACTGTAAAAACAAATCTTTTACCCTAATAATAAATTTATTTATGCTTACATTAGTATTGTTTATTTTTTGACTTATATTGCTTCTATTTTTAATTCTTTATCTATAGATTGGTGGAGGGCCAGGTTTGGCTTTTATCACGTTTTGTGATGCATTTCTGCAGATGCCTGCTTCTCCAGTATGGTCAGTTTTGTTCTTTTTTATGCTGATTTTATTGGGTATTGACTCTGAGTTTGGAACTCTAGAAGGTGCAATTGCTCCCTTTTATGATATGAAGTGGGTTAAGATGAGAAAAGAAATTTTTACAGGTAAGTTCTAAATTAATATTTATAAAAAAAAAATTTTAACTACTAGTGTAGCCAAATAGAAACTGTGTCATTTTCATACATACATATAAAGATGTTCATACATACTTACAAGATATGGTACCACAGTATGAAAAATAACTGATGGTTAACTGTCAACCACAAGTTGGAATTAAGAAAGTTGCTATTTTGATCTCCTAAAGTAATTTTTTGTTTTTTTTTCATTATCTTCGCTTCCAACAAGGCTGCAAGCAACCACTAATTAGTATTGGAAGTTACTGGAAGAGAAAAGATGAAGATTGTAGAGCAAGATAACGATTGACAGACGACTTAAAATATTGCAAATTATATGAATCAGGAAAGCAAGATGAATGAAGCGAATTCCAAAGAACTGATGTTCGAGGAAAAAAACTAGACAAATAAGAGTTTTTGGAGCACTTAGGAACAGTAACAGAAAAAGGATGAGACTTAATTGAATGACGAGTAACACGAGGATGAATTTTAGTAGATGGCACAAGAGACGCTAGCTCTTTAGAGCAGTGCCCATTATAGTATTTGTAGAAAAGAGAAAGAGAAGCAACATTACGGCGATGTGACAGAGGTTGAAGGTTGGCTGCAAGAGCAGGTCCAACTATGTTTACAATGCGTTTTTGCACCTTGTCTAAAATACCTGACTGTTGAGGTTGACAAGCTAATCTTATAAATCACAGTTTTAGAAATTAAAATATTATAAATACTATTATCAAGTAAAATATTACATTGTAAATTTTATGTCTATAGTGTTAAAAAAAATAAAAATAAAGTCATTCAAAGTATCAAAAAGCGTCTGAAATCTTTGGTTTTGAAAGTGATTTAAATGATTTTCTTTAAATTTTATCTAGTGATTAATTTTATACAGTTATACTTAGTGATGAATGCTTATTGCATATATAAACACTACAAAAATTTTTAAATGGTTTAAATTGAGGACAAAACTTTTTAAGTTTAGCTGAGCTATTTTAAAGAATTCATAATCACTAATTTGAAATAAAGCAGTACATTTAAAAAAATGTGTAAGTCTATCATATATAGAATCTAAAAAATTCCAATTCCATAACTTTTTGGTTAGCTAATTGTTTTTTTTTAATTCATTAGTGATTTTTCAAGTTATAGTTTATGTATAAACTATAACTTGAAAAACCTGTCTGTCGACAGTGCAGAGACTTCCGCAATGGCTGACGCTTTTTTAGAACGATTTTATAAATAAATTAAAGAAAAACAAAAAAAATTAAAAAAAGAAAGAAAGATTAAGAAAAAATAATAAAATAAGAAAAATAAATATAAATAGAGTGAAGAAAAGAAAAACAAGGAAATGAAAAAGCGAAAAACAAACAAAAAACCAAATCAAACAAACTAACAGCAAAAAAAAAAAAAAAAAAACATAAAAAGAAACGAGAAAAGAAAAAAAAAAAGAAAAAAATCTAAAGTAAAAGAAATAACATTCGAAAATGAAAAGTAATTAAATGCAATTGAAATAAAATATAAAAATTGCCCCGTTTTTGAAGAAACGTAAAAGAATATTTTTTAAATTTTATTAATTTTGAGGGACTTTTGTCTTTTTTGTTGTTGTTTTTTGTTTTTGTATTCTTGTGTATTGTTAATTGGGCATTGTAGAGTATATATTTTAGAAAACTTAGTCTAGATTGATCTATGATAAATATATAGGACTTTTGAACATGCATTTGATACTGGTTTTATTTTTAAGAAAACATTTTAAGTGTATCTCAAAAACTTTTATACAAACGAAATTAACATAACAATTATTTTTGACACAAAACTTTGAAAATAAAAATAAACTTGAAAAAAATAGGCAAAAAAGTTTTGTATTGAGTTGTAAAACCAAAACAGTTGTTATCCTGCAAGCGTAGTCACTTCTCTCAGTTAAGCCCTGCAATAAGCTATTGGCTGGTTAAAAGTAAAATAGCAGTTTTTAACACTAACAATAAAATAATCTTGTATTCTCATGTCTCCCCTCAGTTAATAGCAGGAATAGATTTAATTATTGGAAATCTGTTTACCCCAAAATCTAATCCTGCTATACCCTACAGCAAAAACTGCTATCAAAGAAATTTTCTATAATATTAAAAAAAAATAAAAAATGGTATCCAAACAAAACAAACGTAAACATATAAGTTTACTTTTATAATAAATAAGCTTTTATAATAAATAATATATACTGTATCATATTTATAGGATTTTTCTCTTAATTATAAAAAAAATTATGTATATTTTTTATGCACTTAAAATTTAAAATAAATGTTATTATAAAATGAAATGTATTTTGCATTTGATTTTATTGCACGCACTGTTACGAGCATATATGTATGTTCAATACATGCGTATCTGTATAAAATTTATGTGTTTGATTATGTATAAAAGCAAATATGCATGCATTTTGATGCACAAATAGACATGAAGGTCAAAATGGGAAAAGATACTACATCTGTCCAACAACATCCGTGGAGTAGTGAAATAACATCCGGACATTTTTGTGTAAGATCATCCGCTTTTTTTCTTTACTGAATTAACATCTGTGCAACAACATCCGAAATTTCATTGATGTATAATAACATCTTTAGAAAGATGTAACTACATCCGAGAGTTTTTCTCGATGTGTAACTACATCCGCCTAAAATAATGCATTTTCAAAATAAAATAAAATAAATTTCCGGACGTAGATGAATCAAAAAAAAATCAGATGTGCAATTACATCTAGTTAAAATAATGCATTTTTAAATTACTTTTTTCCCGGATGTAGTAACATCCGAAAAAAATCAGATGCGTAACTACATCTGGTTAAAATATTGTATTTTTTAAAAAAATATAATCCGGATGTAGTTAGATCCAAAAAAAATCAGATGTGTAATTACATCTGCTTAAAGTAATGCAATTTTTAATTATTTTTTTTCCCGCATATGGGATACATAAAGTATACGGTATAGTAAGTTTACCGTATACTTTACCGTATACTTGGTATACTAAAAGTTACTATACACTTTACTATACCAGTTTTCTTTTACTTGTAAAATATTTGCGGACCGACTTGATGATTTATTACTTACATTATATTAATGAATTAAGTAATTGTATGAATAAATAATTAAAATTTCTTATATATTTTATCAGTTTACATATACGCTAGAAAATAAGTACAGTAGAATCCCGTTAAGTCAAGAATATTATAGTCTGACATCTGACTCTTGGTAGGTATAGAAAGTTTAAGGGAACTTAAAATTTGTCCGACTTAATAATAGTCTTTTAAAAGTCTATTTTTTTTACTTTTACTTAGTAAAAATAAATGAGTCAAATGAATTCTACTGTATATATAAATTTAATTTACTTATAGTTCAAAAACTGTTCGTGGCCAAGAGGATAAAGCAATTCCTCACATACTAAAGACTCAAGGTCCAACTCTTAACGTTGTCTTTTTTTTTTGTAATAAGTTTTTAAAATCTTGTATATACTTTAGTCAGTACATAGGTTACTAATACAAAGAGATGTCGCAATAGGGTAGAAAAAATCCAGAGGGCAACCAAGTTTATTACAGGTTTGTAGAAACTGGTAAAAAATTGACAAAGAAATTGAATGAAGGAGTTTTTGTCTATAGGCAATGTCTGAATAACTAGTGTATATTCTATAAAAATATGTTCTATATAAATTCTATACATATTGCATATATATGCTTTTTCTTCATTCATTTTTTTAAGGAATGGGGCCGTAAATATTTTTCAGCCTCCGGCCCTCAAGAACCTTATTCCGGCCTAGCCTATGGCTCACCAAATGTGTCAATACAAGTGCAAAGTTACCAATCTAGATTATCACACATTTTAAAATCATATCCCACTCACAAAGATTTTACAAAGTTATTATTTTGCCATCAAAGGTTTTGCACACCCGCTGCCCTTATCCCTAATTAACTTTTTTTTTTTTTTTAATATTGATTTAGGTGCTCCAAGAAGTCCTTATGGTCTTATCACAGAGCACCGTGGAAGAGCATTTAATAGGAAGTTCACGCCTCCATCCCAAATGATGTCATAAAACTTGCCCAGAGTTGGGGTTTGAACCACGGATCTTACGTTTTTGAGGCAATTTGTTGTAAACATAACTTATGTAGTAAAGTCATTGCAATTCGTATATGATTTAGCCAATAAAATACATCAGTTGGTGCATTAAGGACCTTGCGTTCAAGTACTTTGCGTGTATGTTGGAATAATAGCCATTTAATTTCGGTATCAGGTAACGAAACAATAACCACGGACTTTTTTTTTTTTTTTTTTCCTATTCTTTCCCAGTGGAAGCTATTAAAGTTACACCACTTATATGGAACCATAAGGCTGTAATAGTCTTAAGAGATCTGTAATAGTCTAAACTGAGTGTACAATTTGTTATTAACGCCACACCTTATAATTTATAATTAATATCGTTTTTATTGGAAGATTACATTTTACCCCAGTCTATATTTTATATTTAATACCGTTTTAGTGTCAAACATTTCGCAGAGTATCAACTTAAATTGTACTGGGAGTTAAATAAAATGGGAAATCGCTTGTAGAAAAAGTAGTGTGACATGATTTGAAACAACCTTATACATACCCCCCATAATTTATAATATATTTTAGCTCCAATCTTTTCAATAATAAGAAGGTCTTAGGTAGGGACGGAAAGCTATCAAGCGAAAACACTTTGTCATAAATCGACCCTCTGGTTGCAATTTAACCGACTTAAAAACGCCATCATATAGATATTTATTAATAAATGAAAAATTAGCCATTTTAAAAATTTAAGAGTGCATTTTAAGACTGAACGGGGGGGGGGGGGGGGTTCAAAACTTTATTAAAAATATCAATAACAAGAGGGCGGAGGGGCCTTGGTAACTTGCCAAATTTTTATCATAAAATATAAATCTAGCATAAAATATACAAATGTATTTTAATTTTTTGTTTACATCCCACTTATTTCTTCCA